GACTTTATTTGACTTTATTTAAAATGTACCTGAAACTTCTTTCTCCCTTTTGGCAAAACAACAGTTTTCTCTGTACTATTCCATACATTACCAAAGAGATCTATTAAAAATTCTGCACCTAAACCACATAGAATGGAGTAGTCTTGGTGTCCTTGCCCTCTCTTGTATTCTGGTGCAAACCACTGCTCAAAGCCATTGTTGAATCTTAAAGTATTCAGTAGGTGGGCAGCATTTTTTATCTGCTCTGCAGTGTACCATGGTTGAATTTCACTGTTTATAAAGTATAATATGTTATACAAACATGTTTACATGTAAGTTGAAAACAGTGGAATACAAGTATTATTGTTACTGATTGCATTTTTCTGCCTCTTTCAAAAATATTTTAATATATATATTATTGTCTTATAATGTGATTCATTTCTTAAAAGATATAATAGTGATAATTCACAATAATGATTGAATTTATAAAAAAGTAAAAGAATCATTGGTTCAATCAAAAAAAATCAATTTTTTAAATGTTCACCTTCGCAGTAATGAATGAAATATGAAACTGTTGGATATCCTCAGTGGGAGGGAAGTGATGCATGTTTTAACAATCAGTAAGCACACTGTGGATAAAGTTTTGCTGTTCTTTGTCTGTTTGCGCGCCATTTGTTTGCGCGACTGTATTAATTTCATGTCTAAGGTTTCGTTTTTATTTATTTCCTTTAGAATCACCTACAGCAGCCACAAAAACAACCGATTCGAATACATGGTATTTCAGGACAATCATGCTTTAGGCTCAAAGTCATTACGAAGACGTCGGGAGGCCTGATCACAGCCTTCCCCATGCGATAAGAAAAAGAACAAAAATCAAGAAAAACAAGACTTCAAGACTTTGTAAACACTGTAAATAGTACTCTCTAACATAGTTATCATCTATATTAATGTTCAAAACTTGTTGTATAAATTCAATTTGCGCGCGAGGGAAAAAAAAACAAGACTCATAAATTAATGAATAACCTGTAATTTATTAAATTTGATCATGAAATCATGTATGATATACATATAATCTATTTAAATACAATCGTATATTTGATGTTTTTTTATTGTTGTTAATTTTTTGGATTTTTTCTCAAACTCGATGACTAATGTTCTTGACTATACCTTTTTTTTCGATTTCCCCATTATCTATAATGTTGTCAAAAGGAAACACGTTATTATCACTATGAAATTTGTGAGGAATCTATATTCTGATACATCACTAGTACCAACTTGTGCACTTGTCATTGATTGATCAAAGGGAAAATTATCATTTTCATCACTAAAATCTGTGAGAGTGGAGATTTGAAGTAGGTCACTTACATCAACTTCTGCAATAGTGCTTTTAAAAACAATCAATTTCTCCTTCTGAGATTGCTTGTTCGTTCTCGGTTGAGTTCTCTTCCCACAAATTCAATGAATCATCTACTCGGACCTCYCAAGGATGATTTTTCACGATAAATGATTCAACCYCATCATTGAAGGCTTTTTTGTTTGGCTATCAATTCATTGASCTCTCTGATTGCTCTTTCCACGTCTAAGTCAACATAGACATGTTTCCATTTTGGCGTTCTAGTTTTGTTGCTTCGGTTTTCTTCTTGATTTCCTGGTAGACATATTTTATTTTACTTTTTATTCCTTCCYACTCCTGTGCGGAGATGATGAGCTTTTGCTCTGATTCCTCACCCAGAGGAGTTAACTTTTGAATTTCTACGAGTGGATTCTTTTGATCATTCTTATTGCTCATTACTATCACTTTGATGGCTTTCATGGCTTTCAGTCCTTGTGTGCTAACATTTTATAGAGCTGTAGGACTAATTTGAGAGGATGATGAATCACCCAATTTGATGAATGATGTCATTTTCTAATTTAAAAAGTTGCTGAACTTTGATTTTTTTTTCACGTGGAGGTATGAGGAGTTTCTGACTCAAAAGAAAAAAAAATGATCTCACTTCGTAATTTATCATCTTTGATGGATATAAATATTAGTTTTCAATTTAGAAATTAGTATCCAACTCATGGAGGAAGAAGACGAGCAAGAAAGCGATAACACTTATCTCGAGCAGTTCATAGACCCAAATGTGGTTTTGTTTCCAATTGACTACATGCTTTTAAGTGAAGCAAGGTCCGATCAAACAATGCAATTGAAACGATATCAATGTCAAATGTGTTTGAAAACATTTTCTAGAGAATGGCATGTAGCTCGACAAGTAAGTGTCAAAAGTTTTGTATAATTGTTTGTGACTCTATGATTTCTTATATTAAATGATTGTTTGGTGTCGACTGTTTGTATTAGGTAGGGCTCTTCCCTAATATCCGCAACTTCGATCCGGGCAGAGTGGTTTGATGTGGAGTGGTTGGTAAGAAGGAAAACCACTTGTGAGATATACATGCCTAACATAGCACGAAATAAGAAAATTTTACTAGATATCTAATAAAATAGATGTATATGGTACAATTTGGCTATTCCATCATTTCCCACAGGCCGCTATTCACATTTCACAMTTTATTCATCTGGTCAGCACATGTTCATGGCAGCATGTTATGTTTCTCATTATCCATGTTATTTTTTATTGTTTGAACTCATTGTTCATGTAATATCATAATTTGRAAACTTTACAGTGCTCACTGGTAGATATAGTGGATGTCATTTCATGCAACTGTTATTCTCCTATTATTACCTTCTGCTTTTCTTGATGTTTGCTTTGCGGTGTCAGGTTTGCGGTTTAGCTCAACTGTTTCAAAGGTAATTTTTCTTATCAGACTTTATGTCACTTTTAATGGTTTCTCAACGATGCCTTTGAGGTTTTGAGTTTAGAGTATAAAGGACGGTGTGCTGACGGTTGCACGCTCTCTCATGATCTAGAGATCACGCCCCACAAAACATTCCTTTTTTATCAAAAAACTAAAATTCCTGAAATTTATACAGAATAAAATGTAAATACCAAATAGTATTCTGCCCGTTTTTGTGTCTATACGTCACCGAAAAGAGATCTTTTTGAACCCATGAATTTCGCGTTTTCTGACCCGCCATTATTTGAGTGTGCCGTCCAAATCATTACATATTCATAGCAATCTCGTACCCCGAGCCTTCGTTTTCCTCGCCAACGCCCAAAACGTAAGACTCTGGGGACTTGGAATTTTCTGCGAATTTTGCCGCCGGATGTGAAATTGACATCAAGGAAAAAATTCGAATTCATGATTTCTCTCGATATATTACCTTAGATTATTGCTTTAAAATGATTTACTAAGACATAAAAGTTAGAAATTCTGATGGATAATCTCAATAAGTGAATTAACCGAAATGTAGTTTATATTTAGCCGCGACGAACTGTCGCTAACTGACCAACCGTCGCGATCGGAAAACATTCCAAATTCTTCGTTTTCTATCACGTGGGTAAAATTGATGACGTCACCGATCGACGCCATCTTGGTTGATACAGTGAAACCCCTCTATACCGGACACGGCTGGGACCGTTGAAAAATTCCGGTTTAGAGGGGGTTCCGGTATACTGGGGTTTTGAAAATAAACAAAGAAAAATCAGTTTTTTAGCAATATTCAACAAGTTTATTGTTGAGAATCGATTACAAATACAAATAGGAAGATATAGAAAATATTTACATGAATTTTAACTCTTACGACGATCGTGTGAAAAATGCGTTGATCAAGCTAATTCGCTTTTCTAAGGATAATTCTATTCTTTGACGTTTCGCTGCAGGTTTCGACATGTTTACTCTCGCAAGTCAAATGCTTAAGTGAGGAACTATATGTTTGGCAATAAATTTAAACAAAATGGACTATGTTTGGAAAATAGGTGCGATATCACACCTATCAAAACACGTTTGGCGTCAGTGTAAACAAACATGTAAACGAAAGTCTAAGTAAAAATGAATACAAAACAATCAAAAACTATTAGCGAAGTTCAATTCTATTGTAAAATATCGTTTGGTACCGAAAAAATCGTCCGGTTTCCGGAGTAGAGAGGTTCCAGTATACTGAGGTTAATTTTACAAAAGATGTATGGAAAAATTTCCGGACCAAAGATTTTGTCCGGTTTAGAGAGAATTCCGACATATTGAGGGTCCGGTAGTTTCACTGTATACAAAGCGAGAAAAATGGCGTCTACAAGTGTTTGTGAAGCGAATTGTCCGATCCTTTCTGCATATTCTGAAAAGCTCGATTGTCCAACTGAGGACAGATACTTAAAAAAAGTTAGAACATGTGGTTTCAAACCTTATAAGTTAAAAAAGAGTGAGTTTAAGGATGAAATTAAGCTTTGGCTAGCCGTCGAATACCCCGATATTGTCAACTATCTGTTAGTCCAAACTTCTTGGGCCACGAAGGAGCAAATGAAGGCCTACAAATCTCTTGAGGCATACAACTTCTTCGTTTCTGGATGAGTCCATTCCATCTTAGGCAAAGAATTACCGGGAAACAAAGTTTTAATCTACTCTCGGGTAAGTTAGAATTATCAAACAAGCATGCAGTGATTATAAGCTTACAAGGTCATCAACGTTGATCATCATCTTTTGTTTAGGTCAAACACTCTCAACGGGCACAAGAAACCACATTAGCTGTTTGGATCCTTGCAGAGAGCAATGGCTGTGTAATTTCACTGTAACTGTATGGCTGGGTAAGTAAAGAGATAAGATCGAACAAATAGAACCGTAAACTTCAGATGTATTATGAAACAACACGTACACTTGATCGAACTGCAAGACCTTTTAAGCTCACTGGGTTGTGTTTTTCCTCTTCTTTTAGTTTGTCTGAAGTATGCTCTCATATTGGTGCAACATTATTTGCTTTGGAAACTGGCGTAAGGATGCGCAATTTGACAACATGCACGCAGGAAAAAAGCCAGTGGATCATGCCAGCATATGTCAAAGAGGTAGGCATTCTTGTCTTGTGATTTTATGTTTTCTTGAAATCTGTGTGAAACATTCAAATATAACCTTACTTGTTGTAATGTGGTATTTATTGCTTCATTGTTAAGTTGATGTTCCTCA